CACGGGCGGACAAGGCGAGACAACTGCGACCTTTGCTCCCGCAACACCTTACGCCTCTAGCACCAGCGCCCCGGCCATTAGCTAGAGAAAGCCCAACAACGCCAGGAGAGTTCGCCGTCTACAGATTATCACCCGGTCCATCTTCGGAGGCCGCCAACGAGCCGCCAAGACGAGGGCGAGGTCGGCCAAAGTTATTTGGTAGGACACAGTTGGTGAGTGGACATGATTTTTTTGCAAGTCGATTTAGATTCTGATTCGGATCCTAGGGTACTTCTACAGGCGAACAAACGAAGGCAGAGTCTGGGCGATCAACACCTAGCGAATCATCGCGCCAGCAATCTGATGACATACCACGAGACGCCTACAACGAGGAAGAAAGTGTATCGGATTCGCAAAAGGAAAAGGCCATTCCGAATATTGGCCACTTACAACAACAAGAAGGGCTAGCGAGTTAGCAGTGCGTAAAGAACTTGGGCCGATGTTGATTCGACCATTTATTCATCCACTGCTAAATCTTCGAAACTACAAGGCCTGGACGAGCAAAGTCTCGCCATGGTCGTCTTTGATAAAGTAAGGGTTAACACGGTTGAATGCACGGCACCTTTGAGTGGGCAACTTCACCGTGTACGACGGTTGTCTGGTACAATGGAAGTGTATTTCTAGAGCTCATGGCGTTATCGGACTGTTTGATTTTGCATATACCGGCCCATGGACAGAACAGGGCGATTAGAGTTAGCTTTTTGCTTTTCTCATTTGGTCCAAGGAGTTTAGGGAGACAGACGTGTAACCTCGGGACGAGGTACATGTACTGGGATGACAAGAACGACATGTACAATATGATGGAACCTGGATGTAGTGATGTCAAACACATGGCCACCTTTTGGCATAACATGGATCATGCACATTTCACGGGAGTTACATTTCGGATCCCCGAGTGCTGAACGTGAAGGTCATATAATGGTATTATTTGAGAAGTCGTTCTTTCTGAACTTTTTTTTTTTCGTTCAGAGATCAGTCCCATACGCTAAATGATGATAATGGCCAGACAAAATCCCAACCGCAGATAATGCTTCCAAAACAAAACACCCAGATACATAAAGCAACATTTCATTTTCCATGCTTTAATCTCATTTCTTCCTTTTCTTTACCAAGACTTGACAATCTTCTCCAGGGCCTCAATGAGGATATCAGCATGGTGCTCCTGGAAGATGAGCATGGGCCTCAGACGGACGGCGCTCTCGCCCGATCCGCCAATGTTGATGCCCAGACCTTTGGCCTTCTTGAGGAACTCGTCGCGGCGCGGGTTATCAAATGCGATGAAGGTGCCCTGGCCCTTTCCGCGGAGGTTGGCGAATTGGCCCGGGTACTTGCTCGCGAGACCCTCGAGCTTGCCAAAGAGGTAGTCGCCGACGCGGGCCGTGTTGTTGACGAGGTCGAGGCGCTCAATCTCGTCGACGATGGCGCGGAAGAGGATGGCGCGCGCCGGGTCGCCCATCCAGGTGTTGAACTGGCGGTAGGGCTTGTTGGGGCGCAGCTCCGGGTTGCCGAAGTAGTAGCCAGCCGTCTGGGCCTTTTTGCTAAAGGTGACCATGTCGGGCGGGGAGGGGAGGTCCCAGTGGTCGTGGGCCCAGAACTTGCCCGTGGCGCCGACACCCGTCTGGACCTCGTCGACGATGAAGAGGACGTTGTGCTTCTTAGTCACCTCGCGGAGACCGCGGAAGAAGGCCGGGGAGGCGTGGTTGTCGCCTCCTTCGGATTGAATCGGCTCGACGATGACGGCGGCGGGGGGGATGTGGTAGTTCTTGATGAGGTGCTCCACCTCGTCGAGGGCGGCCTTCTCGGCGGCGGCGTTCTCCTCGACGTGCTCCTCGAGAGGGTACTTGAGCAGGGGGAAGGTCGCCTGGGGCCAGTCAAAGGCGGGGATGTCGAGCTTGTGTATGGGCTTGGAGCGGGTGGTGGAGAGGGATCCGAAGAGGCGGCCGTGGAAGCCTGTCTTGAAGGAGAGGATGGAGAGGTCGGAGGCGCCTGGGGACTGGTTGTTCATGGCGGAGGAGGTCTCCTCGGCGGTGAACTCGACGTCAGGGCCGCCGCGCTCCTGCTGGCGGCGCCACATGAAAGCGGCCTTGTAGGCCGTCTCGTTTGCGTCGGAGCCGGCCATGGCGGTGAAGACCTGGTCGAGGCCCTTGGGCGCCACCTTGAGGATGCCGGTGCGGAGGACCTCGGCCCAGTCTTCGGGGGGGAAGTTGCCCAGGGCGGGGCGGTTGATGATTGCGTTAATCATCTCGGGGGTCTTGGCTACCTCTGCGAGGGCCGGGTTGTTGTAGCCCAGGGGGATTGAGGCGATTTGAGCGTAGCTGTCAACAGTTCGTAAGCTTTTGGTCCTAAATGTAACTACAATTTCTCTCTCCACACGGTTTCACTTACACATCGAGGAGAACGTTGCCGTCGGCGTCGGCAATGTAGTTGCCCGAGCTCTTCTTGTAGTCGGTAAGCATGTTCAAGCTCCGGGTGTCAAAGACCTCGTGCAGGTCCTCGGTGGCCTTCTTGGACGCGGGGCCGGGGATGGCAGTCTTGAGGGCCGGGCCGGAGGGCTCGCCGGCGAAGAGGCTCGGGGCGGCAGCCATGCGCGGAGCGGAGAGGCAGAACGCTCTGCGCGCGGTGGGTGTGTGGGCCGCGCGAACGGCGGGACGCGCCAGAGACGCGGAGGCTCTGAGGAGGACCATTGCGTCTGGTGTGTGTATCTGTGTGTATGCGAGTTCTCTCTTTCAGTCAGGAACTGAAGCTCCTCTATGTCGCTGTGTCACCAAGATAATGAGACAGCTTCTCCGGGATGTGTAGAGAGGCGATGTCCAGTGGGAGCTCTGTGCGATATCGGAGGGGGGGAATGGGGTATCAATTGGTCAATCGCAAAAGAAAGATGAGCAAAGAGAAGAAGAAGAACGTCGAGCAATGTCCTGCGAGGCGGGGGAGGGGGAGACCAAGTTTATAGATTACGGGTGGCAGCGGCTTATCACCTCGACAATCTAACGTAACTCAACGCCGCGTTGCCGTTGCCGGTGGTGGAGAGCAAGTACGGATACCTTAGATAGTAGCAGCCGCAGTAGCGTATGTAGTACGGATGTGTCTTGTTTTGAGCTTTGGTCCCCTGGTCAAGGTACGGTACCTTTGCCCTTTCCTGACCGCAACGACCAGACCGAGCGCCACTTCCTCAGCTGTCCTATCTAAGATAGGTATCTTTTTGCTGGCCGGGGGAGGGAAGCTGGCACGACTAGCTAATGCAAGCACGGCAAGGTCCTCCAAACTCCCAGCGAATGCGATGACGGGGAGACCTGCCAAGATTACGTGCCAGTCGAGGGAAATGCGGGGCAGATTGAAAGCTGGGGTCCTTGGGCCTGACCTCACACACACACACACAGCAGTGACACACTGCCTTGGTACGGAGAGGAACCGTACCTTACACACGGGCCTTGGTTTGGAGGGGTAATTTACGCCGTTTACGCCGCCACCGCCTTCTTTTCTCTCGCTTCCTCAAGGTACAAATTACTCGAGGCAAGCCAGCGTAAACGGCGTTAACATGCAAAGTGGTACTCTCCTCTTCAAATCAGGGACCTGTGCATTCCGGCGGGCATGCACTTTGGCTCCGACATCAAACATTCTGTACGAATGTGTCCAGGTCACAAATATTGGAGGAAGCTCGGCCATGTTCATCCTGATACCATGAAACTCTGATGGAGCTTGGGTGCAGCAGCCAGCAGGTATCTTCTCGTCGACACAGGAAGCGCGCTACCGCGATGAACGTACCCCAGATTTCGCCCAATCGGTTCTCTTTGCGCGCATTCGCCTCGACCTTGGACGTTCTCCATGCCGTCTTTGCCGCATCTTCAGCCTCAAAAAAAACATACTGATACAACTGCTTTTCGCCACATCAACTCCTTCCCCTCAGACTTTACTGATATAATCCTCTCAATACATCCCCTCAAGCACTCGGTGACACTCCGTTGCATTGCAATCACAGACATCAGGCGATAAGCACCCATCCCCATCGATACGGATACCATGATAAGAATGGAGAATAAACTCCCCTCAAAGTGGAAACAACCAGATCCACCGCCAGGGGCAAACATCTGGGGACTAACACTATCCATAGCGCTCCGCCGAAAAAATACACCCACACCAGCCGATGACGGGACCGGAGGACCGGAACCGGGAAACGTTGCCGGTTCTCGCGCCATGCCTAGGAGATTGAAATTCGCCCCTCCTCTCGTCTCCGTCGCGTATTGCCTTTTCGATTAAATATCATGACAAAGAGCATTCAACTTGTCGAAATGGCAAGACTAGTTCTAAGCTTCCGCTCCAACGCCATTGTTCTGCCCGATGGCGATAGGCCAGGATTGGGCTCGGAGCCGGTTGGTGACACCACCCCGCATCGGCGTCCGGGCGGATGCGCTCCGGATGCCGAGGGTCGTCTTGAAACTTTTGATGAGTGGCCGTCACCCGACCTGGCGGAGGACTGCGGCCGGTTGATCGGAATGCACGTAAAATCATGTCGCATCACAAAACAACTTGATCAATTTGGACGAGAAAATGTAGGAAAATGGGACTCTGTCCGTTGAAATTACTTTCGTGCGTTCGTTGCGACGATGCTCTTTATGTGCACAATAATCAATCTAGCCTTTCTCAAGTATTCTGCACTTCTTTCCTAGCCAAAGAGAACATGCTACACATCCAGGTTCGAGCACAGTCGACCACCCAGGAATGCTCTAGAAAACAGGATTTGAAAGAAAAACAATGTGTGAACGCCAACCCCAGATACGCTAAGCCGCAAGTATCGCAATGCGGGCGGTATGCAAAAACTAAAACAGACTTCCTCCTTCTCTGACAATATATCCAAATGTGTCGGAGGTGAAAATGCTGTCAAGGTGCAGGAAATATGATGTAAAAGTGATTTGAGCCCAAAGCTCAGAGAGCGAACGCTCGTTGCTCCAGAGGTAGGCACTTCATCAGTGTCCCTCCTTCTCCTCAAGCTCCCGCATGTATCTCACGAAGCTCTTCTTATGTACCTGAAACACAGTTAGTCACCATACTTCATCAAAGACATCTGGATTTTCGCGTACCATTCCTGCGTAACGTCCATTCTTCAGGACACACACGAAGCGCAGACCAAGCTTGACGAAACACTCGTAAACGAGATCCATGGGGGATCGCATGTCCAAAGCCACAGGTGCCTGTTGACGAGGTTTAGCCTTGATATCACTAGCCAGACCGAGTGGATACTTACAGGGTCGATGTACGGGGTGAAGTCAGTCTTGTCCATCTCCCCATCATCGTCAGAGTCCTCAATGGTTGTAACTTGGGCCATCAAGCACATGCTTGATGCTTCATCATCCAAGTTATCGAGGGCAAATTCCAAGTCAGGGGCGGGGATCAGGCCAACAAGGATTCCATCCCGGATGATGGGCAGACCTCCGTCAATCTCTCCAGCTCTGTGGAGGGTCTGCAACTTGCCGCGAAGGCTGACTGCAGAAACCATTGGAGAGGCACTGATGTCAATGACACGTTCACGTCGGACACGCGGAACGATGTCGGCAAGATCCGAAGTAAAAATGGGCTTGTGCTTGTTGTCCAAGAAGGGGTATGAGTTCATGCTTGTCAGGAGATCCTATCGAAGTCAGTAGCCGCCCAAACTCAGCGTTTTTCTGTAACTTACGTAGATGCTGTTTGGCTCAATGGCGTCCGCAGTCCACTTGGCCACAAGAATGGCCAAAGAGAATGGCAGAACATAGTCCAAGCTGCCGGTAAGCTCGAACAGGATGACTGCAAGTGTCACCGAGAGTCGGGTTACACCGCACATGGTTGATCCAGCAGCAATTAGACCGTATACTCCTGGCTGAATGCAGGATCCCGCCTCCTTCGCGGCACATGCACCCCACAGTCCAAAGTCGGGCCAGAGCAGAACCATGTACTGCACCACATGGCCGACAAGTCTGCCCATGAGACCGCCGACCACCATGGATGGAACGTAGATACCCGCAGGTACTTTCTGTGAGGGTGTTAGAGGGGTGATCAAATTGGGGGTTGGAAGTACCTACAATGCCAAATGTGATGATCGTCAAGAAACCCTTGATAAGGAATGCAGTAAAGAGGCTGAGGAGCACAGGTGGGATGTCGTCCATAGCGGTCGGACAGAGGCCATAGTCTTCGCGATCGGAGCCATCGTGGCATGGAGCTGCAAGGTTGAGCATGAGTTTGGCAACAGGCTGTTTCGTGTGGACGTTCCAATAACTCATGATGCCGGTAACAACAGCAACCAGAAGTACCTCGAGCATTGGATACGTCTTGATGAAAGTGATTCTCCGGAATGATTTGGCCCAGTGCTTAGAGGCCTTGATGAAGAGAGCACCGGCGGCACCACCTAGGATGCCGATGACGATGTAGAAGACAATCTCAAAGTAGTGCCAATCTGCCACATACTTGACTTGGAACATTACGATCTTGTGTGTACCGTAGGGGTTGAGAAACTTGAGCGACAGTGCGGCCACGATACAGCAGAAAAAGGTGCGGAAGAGCGTCTTCGCTGGGAAGAAGTATGAGACCTCCTCGAGGCCGAAGAGAACACCTCCCAGAGGAGCGCCAAAAGCGACGGCCACACCTGCAGCTGCAGCTGCGGACAACACTTCGCGCCTCTTGGCATCATTCTTGTCATACTTGGAAAAGAGACGGCAAGCAATGTTGCCAATGCAGGTAGCAATGTGCACGTAAGGGCCTTCTTTGCCAAGACTGAGGCCAGACGCCACACTGAGAATGAGCGCGGCAGACTTGATAACCAAGGTTTTTACACCCAGGAAACCGTGCAAGACGAAACCACTGAGAATGACACGAACTTCGGCCACTCCACTTCCGGCAGCAGAGTAATACACCATTGGAGGAGGCACAGCGGCCTCAATCGCCTCAACGACTTCTGGGGGAGTCGGGCTTTCGTCGCTCGTCGGTTCGTCTGCGTATGGCGCAAGCTCTGCCGCGAGGTTCTCGTCGAACGTTGTCATCCGATATGCCGAAGGTACCACGGTCTTTGTGGTTAGGGTCATGGCACAGGCGATGCCTGCCAAGACAACGCACCCGACCAAATAGATGGTGAATTCGGTGCCTACATCTCCAAATGGCCAAAACCTCAGGACCTCGGACCAGGTCCGCCAATCTTCGCAAGGGCCTTGCTTCGGACAGCAATTCTGGACACAGCGTTAGCTTCTTCTGAAAGGCTTTAGTTGCAGCAGGACATACCCTCTCGCTAATATACCAGCCCCGCGCGCAATATCCGTACTTGTAATCGAAGACAGTGGCTTCCGATAAGTTGACAACGTAGGCGACAAGGGCGACGACGAAGCCGCACAGCGCACTCAGAATCCATCCTTGTGAGGCGTCGAAGATGGCATATAACCTTCCCCGAAAGTCCTTGCGCATCTTCAGAGCCTTGACTCGATGGGCATCGATGATGTTATCATGGACCCAGTCGGTGGATGTAAACTGATCGTACCATACGCGCTCGTTGGGTTGTATTGATCGTTTCGACTCGCTCATCGGATCGGGAAAGTCGGAGAAGGCATGTGAGAGACGTTGGCCCAAGGACGGGTTGCGACTGTGGTGTAAACTTCTGATGCTTCCTGGGATAGCGAGGGTATAGGTTAGCCTTTTTTGGTTTCTCGGTTTCCTGACACAGACGCAGCATGTGAAAACATCGGGACAACATACCAGCAGTGCTATGATTTCTTGACAGGCCCGGAGTTAGATACTTTGGACTCTCCGGACCGGATTGTTGAAGACGCCTTCTTGACCTCGCACCACCCAGAAGCAGCGGGGAGCGCTCATCCGGCTCTCCTCCGACCGAGCTTCTCCGAGAGTCGAATCTTGGTCGTCGCGTACTCATGGGCGAGGGAGGGCCCGAAGGCGCGTTGTCGTCCGGTAAATCTGCCATAATTGGGCTGACTACGCAGTAGGTGTGTGTGTGAAGACGGCTCGAACCGTTTGAGTTCTCGAGTTTGTTTCTAATCTTGGATGTTTCGACTCAGCCAGCAACTTTTGGCGGGTAGGCAGGCAAGGTTGCTGTTGGTTGGGAAAAGAGCGGAAGCTTGCAGCTTTCAGTAAGATGGGACAGCACTCGACGCAGTCAAGTAGTCTAGACTCTGGGCTTTGGAAAGTGACGATCAGGGGTAGCAGCGGAAGCCTCAAAGTGAAGGCTGTCCTGACAAGCAAGCTGAAGTTTTAGCACGTGAACCTAGTGAACTTCTAAGGAATTCCAAGTTCCAAGGCTGCAGACAACCTTGAGCACAGCAAGCGCAAGGTTCGGGGAGGCGGGAGACAGGATCACGACGTGGGGTTCCGTGTCAGATGCGACGAAACGTGTAGGCGGATGACTATCGCGGGCGAGACATGTTCCTTAGCGTGTATACTGCGTCGCCGGCGGAGGATGTGAGTGTGTGTACACGGCGGGGCCGGGGGAGAACGGTGGAGGGTGGGAGGAATGGAAAAGAAGGAGGAATAGGAAGATGGTTAGGGGAAAAGAAGAAAAGTAGCCATCTACTTGAAAAGAAGCTGTGGAGAGAGCCGCAAGGCAAAGAAATGTGCCCCGATGGTTTGGTAGTCCTACTCCGTGCTCCGTACGAAATACCAATACGGGTGCTAGAAGGTGCGGCAGGCTTCGAGATGAATGGAGCTGTCCATCGCCCGTCCACTTTCCCGAAAGCCCCCCAAGGAACCCAAGGGACACCAAGGTTGGCCAGGTTGGGCTGTGCACCGTGTTTGCGCCGGGGGCACGCGCGGTAAGTTGCAAGAGCGTGATCCACCCTGAACAGTTTGGCAGTGCCGCAAAGTGTGTAAATAATTCGTAGCGGTGGGAGGGCGTTCTTGGCTGTGAGGTCATTTGCACCGGGTGACCCTTAGGGTGGATGCCTCTGTAAGACATTTAGACGCAGCAATTGGCTGACGCCTAGCGCATTTCCCGCCGAAACGGTCAGATCGACCGGAGGACCCTGAGATTGCACCATTACGGCCGTCCCTCTTTCTTGTTCCAGTGCCCCCCTCCATTGCCAGAAATTGCCTAGGTATTCACCCATTGTTACCCGCTCCCTCCCACCGCCTTCTCACATTCTTCAACCTAGAAAGCATTCATTATTCGAAGACCTACTGAGGAGGTGTGCTGTGCTGACCAAGGTGCGGATGCCTATCCATACCGCCTTCCTCCATCACTCCGACTGCAATCCGTATCCAATCCCACATCTGCAAGGTGCGTGAGTCAAGCAACAGCCAATCCCGAATCCCACCCTTGTTCCGTTCCAGTGCCTCGACTCTTCAGTCACGGGTCGCTCTCCACGTCCCCATCCTGGAATGTTCCGAACTCTGCCCATCCTTCATCCAACCATCCAACCCTCCAACTTGGTGTGGTGCTTCGATTGCTTTGGCGTTAATCCAATGTTGACTGACACTATACTAGTCCCAAGAGCAGTCAGCCAGTGTCGGTCAGATTAAGACATGACACTCTCATCAACAAACGACATCAAAGCCATCGCTATCGCCGTTCCTGCCGGCCATCTATTTTCGAGCAAACCGGTCGATCCGTCTAGTCCTCGTTTCCGAATAATTGGATTCAGAAACAGAGCCGAGGCCCATTAGAGCCAAGATCCTGGGCCTGGTCATGTTTTCTTGCAGAGACGGAGTGAACCCCAGGTGCATTATATAAGACGGGCAAACCAATCACATGCCAGGGGATTAGTGCCCAGTTTTCTGTACCGTTGAAGGCGCTCATAGCTCCGTAAACCACACGTGCCCGGGTTTCTCTAACGGTGAGCTGCGACGCTGCGTGGCTGCTACCGTTCGAATAAGGTTGTGCTCTGTATTCTAATTTCTACCTTATGCGTGAGGTCGATCACTGCCAAACCCCCACGTTTCCTTCTCAGTGCCGACAATTGCCCGTTTCCGCCACCGTCAAGCCAATGACGCGACACGCGCCACGGTATCCTTGACGTCGTTCTAGTTCATCACCGTAGTCAAGTACGGACACTATCTATCAAGGCACACCACGCATATCAATCTTGCTGAATTGGACATCGGGGCGTGCTTCCAGCCAGCCGCTTACATTAGCAGGCAGCCACGGCGCCGAGCTCACCCTCGGTGCTAATAATGAATCGGTGAGCTGCGGACTGGCGTCGTCAATATGTCGGAACCTGGGGATAAAAAGTTGACGGTACCGAAGTTCTCGTCGTTCAAGCCCAAAGCCCCGGCTGCAGCACCCTCAGCCACCAGTGAACGTTCCCGCGACCGGAAGAGAGATCGAGATGAGAGGCCCAAGGAGGAACGAGCTCGTCATGAGTCTCGGCGTCACAACGACCGCTTGAAGCACGAGTCTGAGCATCGCCGGCAGCATCGCAAACGAAGTCGGAGTCGCAGTCCCAGCCAAGAACGAGCTCTTGTCAAGAGAGTCGAGGTGGCAACCATTCCAAAGGATAGCCCCGGCAATGGCGTGTTCTTCATTGACAAAAAGGGCGACCCCTTAATCAGAAGATACGGCGGCAATGATCGTTCTCGCGTGCCCCTGTATCGCCGTAGCGGTCGTGGACGAGTCCTTGGCTCCGGCGGATATCTGTACATCCATCGAGACGGCCCGCAGGAACGCTTCAGTATTCGACAGCCGGGAGAAGGAGCCTCGACACTGCGAGATCGAGCGCTTTTCCAATCCAAGACTCACCGTGCTAAGCCGTTTCGTATACGCGTACGCAGCAATCCCGGTGGCACCGATGCACACGTGGAGGAGGACTTTGTTCCCCTGAGTAAATCCTCGAAGCGACAGCGTGCCGAAGAGCCAGGATCAGAGGATGAGAAGACGGCGTACAGATCGATCAAGGGCAAGGCCAAGGCCCATGAGTTTTCTGACAGCGATATCGACTTCGACTCGGATGCCGAAGATGGCGAGTTTGACATCGGATCCGATGATCCCCTGAGGCAACGGTCGATCCAACTATCCCGTCGAGTCAAGGAGCACCCCGGAGACATTGAAGCCTGGTTCGAGCTGATCAATCACCAAGACGTGCTGCTGAGTGCAGGCGGGAGCCTGGATGGAGAGGCCACCAAAGCTGAGGTTCACAGCTTTGCAGAAATCAAGATATCAATGTTTGAGTCTGCCCTGTCTCACGCAAAGAAGCCCGAAGACGAAGAACGGCTCCTGCTTGGCTTGATGCTGGAAGCTGCGCAAGTTTGGTCTTCCTCAAAGCTCGAGAGCCGCTGGACGGATTTAGCAAAGAAGTACGATGATAGCTTTTGTCTGTGGAAGGCTAGAATTGACTACAAACTCACGAACTTGGTTGCGTTCCAGTACAACGACATGAAAGCTCTGATGGTCGACCGATTACAGGCCGTCTACAAGCAAGCCATGGTGTCAATATCGCCCGGGCCAAGCCGCCCGGCAAGTAACGCAGAGACCCAGCGCTATGAGCAAATGGTTTACGTCTTTCTCCGAACAACCAGGTTCATGTACGATGCTGGCTTCCGCGAGCTCGCAGTCGCAGCGTGGCAAGCGCTTCTGGAACTCAACTTGCAACGGCCAGCGGTCTGCGATGCTATGGCAGAACTACAGATAGTCAGTTCGTTCAAAGAATTCTGGGAAGACGAGTCACCAAGAATAGGAGAAGATAATGCCCTCGGCTGGAGCCACTTCGTTCAGATGGACGGCGTTGTCGATCCTCCGGAATCACGAACAGACGATGACACCGTTCCCAAGTCGCGAGACGTGTACAAGTCTTGGGGCGCAACGGAAAGGCTTAGAGCAACGAATTCGAGGAACCCAGCGCGGGCTACGGACGACGTCCTTGAGGACGATCCTTACCGTGTCGTCATGTTCTCTGACATTGAGGAGTTACTGTTTGTAATTCCGTCGGAGGTTATACCCTTACTTTGGAAACCCCTGGTTGATGCTTTCCTGCTCTTCTGCGGTTTGCCAACGGCTTTCCGTACTAGCGACTGGACGGAAGCTGCAGAGAACGATACTGTGATTATGAGCAGTATGAGGCTGTTTGAGAAGGACGTGCTCCAGAGGCCCAACGAACCCGATGTCCTAGATGAGACCAAGAGGGTTCCGGTGTTCAAGCAAGATGCATCTCGATACGCGCTGTCGGCTGATTTGCTGTTTGCTGGCCCCGGATGGTTTTCGCCGTTTTCCGGATGGACCAGTACGTCCAAAGAGTCAGACGGACCCGTTCCCCTAGCTGCAGTCTCCAACACTCTTCGGTTGCTGCTGAAGTCGAGAGGCTGTCGGGAGCTGGCCGAATACTCCCTAGCCATTGAAGTCGTCAATGATCCCAGCAACACCAAGAAACGCGCAAAGGCTTTCATCAAGCAAGATGCCACGAATCTCAAGCTATACAACGCTTATGCTCTCGCCGAGTTCTCCAACGGCAACGCGGGAATTGGTCTCCAGGTCGTTGGCTCAGCGGCCGCCTTGATTACTGTAAGTGCTCACATTCATTCAGCGTACATTACTTTGGTTAATTTCTAATGCGCATCTACCAGACCTCCAATCGCACAGGTGGATCAACGTTATGGAACACTTGGGCTTGGCTGGAACTCCACGAAGGGAATGATGCACATGCTTTGGTGCGTATCTGTGCTGCAACAGATGAATCCTGGAGAAATGTGTCCGCAACCACGCCCTCTCCTTCACAACTTCTCAAGGCATATCAATCACTATCAGCTACTCTGGAGCATCAAATTTCTGCGAAGCAGCTCGACGAAGCTATAGCTACTGCGGAAAGCTTGGCAATGCTGGCCTATCTCACTGCCCAGGAAGGATCTGAGCCTACATCGGAGGCGCAAGGGAGTATCTCGGCTGCGATGGAGAGAATCTGGACCGTATCTTCGGAACTATGCGCTCAAGGTCAGGCCAAGTCCTCGACGCACGAGAGACTTCTACAAGTCGCTGCGAGGCTTCTTTACCACCATGCAAGCCGAGGGTAAGCAGGTCCCAATTTCTCCAACCATCTCGAGGCTAACTTTACTACAGACCATTCCGACGTGCGTATTTGAGGGATCAGCTCAGCCAGTGCATTGAGTTGTTTCCACGCAACACGATCTTCTTGAGTCTGTTCTCGTGGGCATCGACTACGTTCGGCATTGACGACCCGATGCGCGACATCCTTCGAAAAGTCGCCCTTACGAACGCCAACGACAGCATCAGCAACCGCGTCTTCGCGATTCGATACGAGTTGCAGAGAGGCAACGTGTATTCAACGCAAGCTGCCTTTGAGCGGGCACTAGAAAGCCCGACATGCAGGTCCAATCCCGATATATGGAGGTGTTACATCAAGTTCAGCTATGCGAGGCAACAGCTCAGATCCAAAACAAAGGATGTGTTTTTCCGAGGTCTTCGCCATTGTCCGTGGTCAAAGGAGCTGGCACTCGAGGCATACACGACCCTTGTCAGCGTTATGGACGAGTTTGAGCTGCGGTCCGTCTTCAATACGATGTCGTCCAAGGGATTACGGATACACGTTGATTTAGACGAGTTTTTGGCCCAGCAGAAGAAGACATGAGGAGGGGCCAATTGAAGTAGGCCAGCAGATGGCGAGGTATACCAAAAGCCCGCCTCGCATAACAGTAATACAATGATTTAAAGAATGCTATGACTGTGACTGATGGGGTGATTCAAACGGTGAGCGATGATGAATCTGCTATCGATCTATTGTATATTGCTGCGACAGGGTATCAATGGTCCAATGGCTGGCTATGTCAGCCAGCCCGAGCAGAGACTAGGTATTTCGGTTCTAGAATGCAGATTACAGGAATAGGACAAAGAGTCACAGTGGCGATGCAGCCGCAGGGGAAAGGAACCTTGAACGGGCAGGTTCTTGGCTTGGTTTGTAATAGGAACCGGAGAGATGTGAGGTAGTGTGGTTCTGATGCGGAGTGACTCATCAGCCACACAGCGACAATTGACTCTTTTTGTGCAGCCCGGGCGGTTTGAGGCGAATCAGGGTCCACACAGCTCGCTCGGTGTGCCCCGCACTGCCCGCCCCTCCCCTCGAAGGCTCGAAAGCAAACCTGAAAGCCCAGAACGGCAGAGAGCAGAGCCCAGGGAGTGAAGAACTGGCAGCGGGCGAGAGCAGCTAAGGTAACTGCCCCACCTTCGTTCTCTATCGATTGTCGCTTTTTATTAATTGCGACTTCCGCCACTGCAAAAATTCCATCAACACCACCCTCACGACAGGATCCTTGACGAACGACATTTTTTTCCACACGACCGCGCCAAAGGGGTTTCTTTCTCTCTTCCCACGAACGAAGCATCTTTTACGAGCATCAGCAGTCGTAAAAGTCCCATCACCTTTCACACCTTCGACAGTCAGTAATCGAGTATCCCCCGAAACAAACCACAATCATGGCGGTGCGCGCGCAATTCGAGAATTCCAACGAGTAAGAGAACCCCGCCGGATCGACCCCGCCATTGTTGCTGCACGCTTTTGCTCCAACAACCCGCATGCTCCGCGATGCTCTTTTCCCGTAGGACCAGATGTGCTGACGCGAGACACTTTTGCTCTTTTTAGAATTGGTTGCTTTGCAACTCTCACCAACTCTTACGCCCTCGTCGCCCCGGGTGCCAGCGAGAACTTCTACAGTGTATTCGAGGCCGAGTTGCAGGGTGTCATCCCCATCTGCAGAGCAAGCATCGCTGGTGTTCGCATCATTGGCCGGTTAACAGCTGGGTAAGCAAAATGCGATGGATCCTCGGAGGGGTCGTGTGTTTTGGCATAACGGCCTCGTACCCACGTGAGCACAAGTTTGCTGACTGGCATCGACTTCTAGTAACCGCAAGGGTCTTTTGGTCCCCAACACAACGTCAGATCAGGAGCTCCAACATCTCCGGAACAGCTTGCCAGATGAAGTTCGCATTCAAAGAATAGAGGAGCGCCTGTCCGCCCTCGGCAACGTCATTGTTGCCAACGACCACATCGCCCTCATCCACCCGGACCTGGAGCGCGAGACGGAGGAGATTATCGCCGACGTTCTCGGCGTCGAGGTGTTCCGCCAGACCATTGCCGACAACGTGCTCGTCGGCTCGTACATGTCGCTCACGAACCAGGGTGGCCTCGTGCACCCCAAGACGTCGATTCAAGACCAGGACGAGCTTTCGAGTTTGCTGCAGGTGCCCCTCGTGGCCGGCAGTGTCAACCGTGGTAGCAACGTTGTCGGTTCGGGTATGGTCGTCAACGACTGGATGGCCGTGACCGGTCTGGACACCACGGCGACGGAACTCAGTGTTATCGAGAGTGTATTCAGACTGGGCGAGGGCCTGGGCCCGGACAACGTCAACACGAAGCTCAAGGACACCATGGTCGAGTCTTTCTATTAAAGAAAGGATCGGTCTGTGGGGGAAGGGAGCTGCATGTTGAGCGGTTGGCTGCAGGAGTACTTTCTGGGTCGGGTTTTTCGTTGGTTTGGGATACCACTTATTGGGTTGAGCATGGTTTGGTAGGCTCTTCTCGTGAGCCGGGTTTGGGTTCACTCAGCAGTACATTACAGATGTATCTGTGTGGCCGGCATGAATAAAAGCCCACGTGGGCACTTGGAACCCAATCTTGTTGTGCCAGCTGGCTTCCCGACGCATTGAGGCTGTGACTGCCAAAGTTATCCAATACCACGGTCAACCAATGTCAACGCCAAATCCAACGAATGCCTTGATAGTGATGGTGGACCGGATTTGAAGTAGCTCAGATGAGATCCATCCCCCAAAGAGGAAGGAAATAAAGCTAACCACAAACCTTGATGTTCAAGGTTGAAAAACCCCCAAACAGCGAATGCGATTCCGTGTAAGTGTTATTTGCCGAGTAAGGGGATTCCATAGTCATGATGATTGTTGTCTGTGAGGGAGCGAGTTACATCCCAGCGTTGCCTATCGTTCTGCCTTCTCGGCTCGGCTGAAGTTGACTGAACCAACACCCTCTTAACGAGCAGCCTATCAAGATGATTCATGGTGTCCATTTCACTTCGTCGGTAAAGTTCCAGACCCCCCGCTGAAGCATCTCTTCCCAATCTGGAAAGCACAAGCTTTTACCGGCTGAGAAGAAGGAAGAATTTGGTGCGTGCGGGGGGCCGAGAGGGAGAGGGAGGATTTGGCTTTTGAATCACTACCTAAGGTACTTAGGCACTAGAGGGAGAACGTATGTGCAGTAGTTCTCCTCCAGAGGAATTCTGGCCTCGACTATGAAGTGCATTATAGACAATACGGCCTAGCCAGCCACCTATTGAAATGGAATGGGGGCGTGGAAAAGGGGGGTTTCTTCTAGTGCATGTATCGTGCTTTTTCGTTTTGAGTTCTTGGGATGTTCCGTCGGTGTGTCGACGCTTGATGTGTGTTTTTCTTTGTATAATTAGACGAGACAAGGGATTTCCACGAGAGGCGTAGAAATTAGGCTGCGCCGGTATTGCCTACATGTCTAAGCGTGGTGTGATGGAGAAGGAAGGGCGGGCTTGAGCCGTCGATGCTTTTGTTTTTCTTCCCTCTTATTCTGATCTGGGCTTCATGCTTCTGGCGAAGACTACTTCAAACCCCTTTGAAGGTTTGTAGTTGGACTTACCTGTACAATAAGGATTTCCATGTTTGGGATTTGTGCCGACATTGGAATTCGGGAGCACGGGACGGTTGGAAGTTTCGCTGGTTTCGGGGTTGCATTCCAGGTCGGTGTCGAAGATCTGCGAGGACGGACTCTAGGCGCCGATCTTCCGGTAGATGAAGGCACCTGCCTCACTGAGCCGTGCTTGGAATGCCTTCTACCTTATTGTGTACTTCATACGGATACACTACGAGTGGGTGCTATGTTTGTGCCTGTCTACATCTCATCGGGACTTTCAGATGTCAAGCCTCTCCCGGGGCACGGGCATGGGCACGGTTAAAGCACAAGCCAGAGACACGACAAAGTGGTGAGGAATCATCTGGTGGTTTGGGTTCAAGAAAAAGCTGCGATGCGATTTCCAGGGTCCAAGAGAAAGGTACCTTAGATTTGCACCGACCATGGGGACGTGGTACCTACTGCCACCGGTACGTGCTCCATAAAAAGAAGAGTAAGGGAAAAAAGGCCATCAATTGGGGAAGAGCGCTCGGCGGTGCGTTGGTTACTTTGGGAAACGGCGGAAGGCGAGAAGTGTTGTCCGTTGGCATCCATGGTCAAGTGACGACGGACTGGATGGCAATTGCAGGGCCGCCTCACTGCTTAGAGCCTGGAACTGGGACTGACCAGCCTATGGGACTATGGGTGCTGCATCGCTGCTGGTCCGCTTTTCACTGCCCAAATGGTGATCGGGTCGACGGGTCCCACGGCCAAGTTACTGGAGACGGGATGGACACCGCCCAACCACCGCCAATTGCTGGATGTTGACGTCGCCCGCGTCGTCGCCTCCTGCCCGGTCCTACGGTTTGTTTATCAGGGACCTCCCGGCGGTTTTTGTTTTCTCTTCTTCGATCTTGGTGGCTGTCGACCTGAACCTTCCATTCTCTTTCCCTCAGTTCTGTGCACATCGGAAGGGGGAAAATCAAGGCTATTTGCTTTTTCTTCTCCGTCACTCGCCGTCATAACGTCGACGCCCCCTGCAGCGCCGGCCTCGTGGGAACAGACACACCTTTTTCTCTGTGTCTGCATCAAACCTGGGGTCTTCCCCGTTTCTCTCGACATCTGCACCACGGATACATTGTACCGGCTATGCAGCCTCACGACTCTTGGGCCGCAGTCTTTGTCACCTCCCTCGCATACCTCCTGCCTCATCACTGACGGATACCTGCTGTCTGATATCCATACGTACGGAGTACGCAACTACCTTACGCACAAATCGAAACGAAACGACGTTTGCCTATCTGTACGCCCATGCTGATTTGGAGGCTCGTCCATCCACTCTTATTATCACATTTCCTTTGACCGATATTCAACACTGGACCGGGCACCGCAAAATCTCCGCTTTTTTATGCCTGTACTATACTTCGTACAGAGCATCCCCGACACTTTTGCATAGTCACAACATTGTCCGAATATCAACAAGCCTTGGATCGGAATAATCGCAACTAGCCCTCAGCCACAAGCGTAGTCGTGTACTCACCTGCGACTTTGACAGCTTCGACGGCTTACAGCATCCCGCGCCGCCGACGCCATCCAAGCCGAACGCTCTCGTCACTTTATTCACGATCTGCGGCTGCTTGCGCACCTTTACTTTCTCTGCGACCATCCTGTGAGACCTCACTATACTGCAAGTCTGCAAGGACCGGGCACCCAAGGGCCGTCTTCATCGATTCCAACAAGAGGTTCATGCGAGTTGTGCTTGACCGTCCGTCGCCTGTCAACTTTCCCTAGTCCGACCGACGCTCTTCATTCTCGCTTGCAGGGGGACCTGGCATCTCATCACGCCAAAAGTCTCGCAGTCCCCTTTGTCCCAGCTCGATCCATCCCTACCGAGCGGGCGACCACCAGCAGCCTCCCACCCTAAAGTTCCAACGCTCTTCCCTCGAAAAAAGGCCGTCTTGACTCTAGGTTGCTCCTAGCTCGCGAGATCCGCCCCTCCCCTTCCGTTGTTTGTGGCCCGAGTCGATCCATTTACGTTCCTGGTCTGGCTGCCATCCAAGGCCGCGATACCCCCGGCCGTACAGCTAGACTCAAGCTGGGAGACACATATTGCCCGTCCCACACGAAACATTAACTTATCATGCTAAGCCGTCACGCCGCCGCCTCCACACCCGACTCCCCAATGTCTTTCCCACGCCCAACCAAGTCCTCTGGAATGGACAAGACTCAAACTCTACGCCGTGCACATGGGCCTGAGAGTGTTGATCCAGAAGACGATCCTGCTTCCCCGAGCGCTACCCCCGGTGCTGCCTTAAACACCAACCCGCCTGTCCAGCCCGAGCCGTGTCGCATTAGCTCGTCTGGAGCCGATCGAAGCTTTCCTCGACTACACTCTGGTCACCAGAGACAGCACTCAGTTCCAAACTTCCCTTCTTCCAGCAAATCCGTCCCACAAGTCACCTTCTCGCCATCCCTTGAGCGAGGGTCTGGCCGCCCCTTGTCGGTCAATATGCCTCTCACGGGAGACAGCAGGAAGCCTTCAGATGCCACTCGAGGAGGCATACTGAGCGGCTGGTTAGGTGGATCTCCCAACAATACAGAGGAAGCCAAGACGAACGATGATACGACAGAAGGGACGCCTACAAACAGACTACGCAGAAGACAAACCGGTTCAACGGAGGCGACACCGAAAGGAGTTTCGCCGAGTACATCACGGTTCGCCTTCTTTAGCTCACCCTTCTCCAAGAACACTCCGGCACAAGTCGTCAGCCCACAACAGGATGAAGAGTTGTTGTCTATGAACATCCAGGAGGCGCTGTTTCCTCCTACATCCCCGACTCACAGAGACGCCTTCTCGCCTGCAGCCTTCAAGAACCTCGAGGCTACAGCCGTTGGCCTATTGACAAAGTTCCAATCCGCCTATCAAAGACAAAATGCCGCCCTGATAGAAATGCGAGTCGAAAAGGACGCCCAGAACGACGAAAACGATGAGGCGGACACACGGATCCAGCACCTCAAGGCTCAACTAGAAAACATGGCAACCAAGGTCGCCGAGCAGGAACAGTCGATGCAGCAGCTCATGACAGAACTGAACGCGGAGAAGAAGGCCAGGCAAGAGGAGAGGGCGATGCGTGAACGGAATCGTCCAATTTCCGAGGGGTCGTCAATATCCGAAGATCTCGGCGCCGAAGAGGACCAGGCCAGAAGGAAGTGGAGAAAGAGCGCGGGATTCGACACGGACGAAGAGAGCATTGAAGACGCCAGCGTTTTCTCGAGGTCACGGAGTCCTACCACCGCCGCACCCAGCGTTTTCGAGGGCAGCATATCGGAAGCATCAGCAACCCCATCAAAGCCCAATTCACTCGGCCCCCCGAGAACCTCACGACCGACACCCACGTCGAAACCGTCACCACAGCAGGCGAGCGTTTTCCAGAAACTCATGAGAGGAGTTACAGGTGACGCTGCGAAAGAGGAGGGAGGCGCGGCATCGTGCTCGAATTGCCGAGGGCAGGACCAGCGGGCCGCATGGGATACGGTCAGTCTGTTGAGAGATGAGAACCGTGGACTAAAGCATCGTGTTGAAGAGTTGGAGACGTGTGTTGATAGTGCGTTGGATGTGGTCAACGGGCTTAGACTTGACTGACTGTGTCGTCATGCGTGACAAACATAACCCCCAAACCGTGCGAGCTTACGCTCCGCGGCATGACTGGCGTTCTCTGGGTTTCCTTTTTTTTTTTCAAGTTTGGGGTTTTTGGTACATTAATGGGACAACGCGATACCAATGAGCTGGCATTGTTGAAATCTTTGAGCGGCTATAAGAGCATATACCTCGTCACTAGTAGATGATTTGGTAGAGAATGAAAGAAATCTGTCTGGCTACTGCATTACTTCCCTTCACATTGGTATCCACGCAACCTGTAGTAACGTTCTCTGAGATGAGATTGAAGCATTGGTGGTAACAGGGTTGTGTTGAAACGGAAAGGAATTGTAAGCACGTAATCTTGGATCGGGAAAGCTGACGTTGAAAAGGAAGAAGCCGAGGAAGCTTGGACGGGTGAGGAAGGGAGGGAGGTGAGAATCATGGGATGATGGGTTGAAACTGGTGTCTGTGCCACGACGAGGTGGTCTTGGGTGAGCAGAATGGTTGTTCTCGGGAGTTTTTCGACTATGCTGTGGTTGTTTTGTTTGGTTTTATAATCTGGGTCAACTGTGTGTGCGCGTTTGTTGCCTTTTTAGTCTACTATCATCTAGTTGATGAGAGGTCGGGCAGCTGGATTGAGGAGACGAATGTAGATAGAGATCACTGGAAGGAAATGATAACATATGCGTATGAGGATGATACTTGGATTCTGCGGGAGGTCCGTAGAGTACGATTTGATCTGAGGCGGGGGGGTTGTAATGAGAACTGGCTCTTCTTTCAGAATGGAGGTCACAGCTTACTCTGCACCTCTATACATCAACGCCCTATTCGCATTGTATCAAGAAGCTGATATTTGTGGTTCTAGTCTTTTTTTAGTGATCTATGCCTTGACATCATACTGCATTTGCCCTATAATGTTACTCTAGCTCGTGACATGGTTCCCGGCCTCGAGTTAGCTAGATTAGGCTCTCGTTTCTAAGTCTGAAGCTTGCCCAATTGCGGATGACTTGATGGCTAACAAAAGCATACTTCGGAGCTGCCATTGCTGGACACGTCTTGGCGGTAGAACGCTTTTGCGTGCCAATGTCTTCTCGGTCGAAGTAGGAGGAGAAATTGGCCGATTAGATGAAAGGTAAGTAGAGGGATCTCGCAAAGGTCTTAAGCCCATCATTACTCTTCAACTCGGATTTGGGGTGTTTGTCGGCCTTTCTCTTTCTCGTGACCTGACAAGTCGCGCCAATGAGCGTTTGAGAGGTCAATGATGGAGGGAACGCTCTGCAAACACGTTCACACACAACCTCTGACACCAGGGCCATGGCACTTCTTACGACACATCAAAGAGCCACAACATCTTGATAGCGGAAAACCAATTTCGTCCTCATCTAAATCCTTCCAGCGAGCCGGTCTGCCGGTTCGAGAGGTACATGTACAGCGGAGGTATTCCCATTCTCCGTCTCCCCACAACCAATCCGTTCCAGCACTCTAGTGGTGATCCTTTCCGTGGGCATCGCCGTGGTGATGGTCGTTGGTCAAGAAGAAGTACTCGTACGCGCAGTAGCCGGCAAAGGCGACGGTCGCGATGCCGAGGCCGGGGAAGGATCCCTTGAACCGGTTGAATCGCGTGAAGGGGCCCTTGTATCTCCAGGACTCTCTGTAGTTTCCATCGTCAGCGGATGTCGCGGTGCCGTCGGGACATCATAGCCAGGTGCCACTCACGCTCTCTCCCAGGGGTCGTATCTGGGCTGGCCGGCCGCCTCCTTGAAGGCTCTCATGTCGAAGCCGGTGACGTTGGGCTTCTGGCCGCGGGCGGCCGCCATCGCTAACCTGGTGTCAAATGGTCGTCAGCCGTCTGCTCCCTATTCCACTATATCAATTGAGCTCTTTGGAGAGTAATTACCTCGTTGGCTGCATAATTGCTGTGTGTATGTCGTCTTGCCGCACAACAATGGACTGTTCGGTGGTGGTCAGTCGAGTTGGGGCGAAGCTGATTGGAGATCTTTGAGATGTTGTCGGCGGAAAGTACCGTGGTACGTACCTGGCTGGTTCTGGTCTCGCACAGACCACTTTCGTCGTCCACGGTCGGTCAACCAGAGCAAGCCTTCAGGCCTCATCCACACATTCTGTCCAAATCCGAGATAACCAGACGTTCTCGCCAGCGCTTTAGCTCCGCACGAACCCAGGACGACGATCAGCATCACTCAACAAGCATCACTCGACGCGACGACTTAGCCCACCTCGAAAATCTCGCCCTTCTCGCACATTCGTAACGAGCCAATCCGACCATCGGCGGGGAAGAACAAAGGTGCTTCTGTACTGCCAACCCCCCCCGTCCCTCACTCGCATTTCCAGACGCAAATGCAGGGCCGTGGACCGTCCACAACCCCTCAGAACCCAACACGACCTTGCCCGACGACGCGGTGAACTTCCAATCTTACTGTACGAACCTCTCGAGAGGCATAGTCTGTTATGCCGCCACAGCTACCTAGGTTCCCTGGCGGGCCCAACACCATATCGCCATACCACCAGCAGTTCCCCTCGCACGCCCAAGGCCACGGCCCGAATCATGGACCCCCTCTAGGAGGAAACCCTTCCTACCTCAACGCGAACGCCGCTCAGATTAGCCCCTTCTCCACGAATGGAAACGTCCTCGGCGGTACCCCCGGCCTGAATGGCGGCTTCCCCCTCGGCGCCGACACCGGGCTCGGAAGCCATGCTGCGCGGATGGGCTTTGCGCACGCGGCCAGCTTGCAGCAACAGCAGCAGCATGGGCAGCAGCAACACAACTTTGGGCTCGATCACGGCGCGGCGCCGGCACGGACGACGCAGAACAAGGGAAGGATAAGGGAGGTGTGGAAGCATAACCTCCACGAGGAGATGGCGGTACTACGGGAGCTCGTCGACAAGTACCCGTACATTGCTATGGTTAGCAGGCTCGCAAGGTATTCGAGATGATGAACTGTGGCTGACAGGACAAATCACAGGACACGGAATTCCCGGGCGTCGTATCACGGCCAATGGGCTCTTTCAGAGGAAAGAGTGATTACCACTACCAGTGTCTGCGCACCAATGTCGACATGCTCAAGGTCATCCAAATTGGACTGACGCTCTTCAACGAGGATGGCGAGACACCGCCAGCAAGACCAAACTCGCAGCAAGACATCGAGCTGAGTGCTGCTCAACGGAGAGCGGCGTCTCAAGGACCATTCCCTTACGCATGGCAGTTCAACTTCAAGTTCTCTGTCAAGGACGACATGTACAACGAGAAATCGATCGAGTCATTATCGAGTGCCGGAATCGACTTTGCATCTCTCGAGAGAGACGGCATCGACCCTCACGAATTCGCCTCCCTCCTCATCCCGTCCGGTCTCGTATGCTTCGACAACGTGAAATGGATCTCCTTCCACGGAGGCTACGACTTTGGCTACCTTACCAAGTTGCTGACCTGTAACGATCTCCCCAACGACGAATCGGATTTCGATCAAGTCATGAAGCTGTATTTCCCGTCGGCTTATGATGTGAAGCACCTCATGAAGCACGCCATCCGACTTCACAACTCTGGACTCCTTACCCCCAGCGATCCTAGCAGCGCCGACATCCTCCAGAAGTTTGAACACAAGTCTGGCCTCGAGAACATTGCCGATTCTCTCAAGATCAAGCGCGTGGGCAATGCGCACCAGGCCGGTTCCGACTCCCTGCTTACAGGCAAGGTCTTCTTCCAGATGCGCGACAAGATCTTCAACGGAGAGATTCCTGAAGAGCACGTGGGCAAGGTCTGGGGCTTGGGCATTCCGGAGCTCCTGGTGCTGGAGAGATTGCCGTTCGGTAATAATGGTGGCAACCAAGATTCAGCGCAAAACCAAGTCCCCAATGGCCAGCACAACGGGGGGCCGAGTACGCCCAATAATGGTAGTGTCGGTCTCGCGAGCACGCCTGCCGCGCAAGCACATAACACCAATGGCATCTCCATGGGACCAATGACCCCAGGCGGTGGAGGCGGGGTTTTCGGCAACTTTGCCTTTGGAGGCGCCAGATAAGCTTGCACGTGTATTCGACTCCTGACTGGGGTTTCGTGGGTAAGAAGCCACAGGCACACACACACACATTGCGGTCTTTGGGGGGTTGGCCATGGTGACTTGCTTCCCGAGGTGGCCCAAGGTGACGCCGGCTTTGGTTTTGCATACTTTGTCTATACAACGGCGGGAACTCAGAAGAGAGCTCGTTTCCTCCCCTTCTTTATTCTTTCAGTGGAAAAGCTCATAGTCGCTGGGAGTAAAGTTCGTTTTTCACGACAAAAAAAGACTTCATTTCCTTAATGTTTTCTCTCTCTCCGGTCTGTTTATGCGGTGACTGCGTTCTGGAGTTGGGATTCGTTGGTTCCAGCATCACATCCCGTAAGCTAGGACGGCGGCGGCGGCGGCGGTAACGGGTCAGGTTTGGGCCTATTCATCTGGATGACGGTTGGGGTTTAAGGGACCGGAATGGACGACGATGCAAAGGCAACTTGCGCATGTCCTCAGTTGGAAGTCGACGGAATTGCGAAAAGGAGCAGAGAAAAAAAAGGGTCTGGCGAGAGAGCGCGTGAGACAGGAGGGGTTGTCAAAGTAAGAGAGAGTACGAGAGCATGAAATACTTCCTCCTTACGCATGTATTGTTATTGTGAATATCCTGGATTAGGGAGGCCACCGGGGGAACGACTGGAATTCAAATGCAAGTATTGTTGATTTTTTACAAGGGGTTGAAGGTGATTGTTCGAGCCTATGTGAGTTGGCCTTGTGGAGTTGGCTGTGACACTGAGGTTCGAACTATTGAGAACTTGTTCTGGTCGAGGTGAGTCTTGGCCAGGCGGGTTGAGGACGGGATGGAGACTTGATGGCTATCTCGCAAACCTTACAAAAGACAATAGCCCGAAGGGATGGTGATTCAGCTTCCTCTTGTCGACAACCTACCTTCCTGAAGATATCACCCCTTGTTCAGGATGCTGGCTGCTTGCGTTGCTTCCAACAACGTGAGAGTATTGACGCGACTCTTTGGGTAATAGCTTGCTGGCTTAGGAAAGCTCGCTGCATCCCAATGGCAATGCTTCATTCAAGTGTCTTTTACGAGCTAGTTAGAGCAGCCGAATGGTGAGCCTTTGCTGCTTTGCGCAGATGGATGTGGGAATAAAAGTCCAGGCTTCTGTTATTGACTCTGGAGAGTTGAAGAGAAGTGGCTGAGATATTTAGGCAAGTCTTAAATATTGTCAAATCAATATACCTGTCCTACGTTTGCTGGTATAGATCGTGTTGCTTAGAAAGTGGGATGTCAGACTCGAGATTTTTTGTCTTGACATGGCAGGCAACTTGGCTTCAAAGTAACTTATTCTTGAACAGTAAGAGTAAGTATGATTCTGAGAGTCTTGGCTGTCCTTGAAATACAACGCCGACCAGCTCCAGGCTTTTGGGAATAGTACAACCCGTGGAGAGGCTCGATCACAGTTCCCGCTGCCAAGATGGAGCATGGGATTACGGATAAGATAATAACCACTTTACAGTCGCGCATACTATTGAAAGGCATAGAATGAAACTCAACAGTGATTCCCAAACCGTCCCTTCTACATCCATCTATCGATAACAGGGAACGGAGCTTGATCTGAAGTACAATCCCGCGCCCAAAACGGCCGCTTCAGGAGAAAAAGCGGATCTGCCGGGAACGAACATTGGGACTCGGAAGGTCTTCATCAATTAAACTGGAGCCAAGAACACAGGGTGGACACCCGCGAGTGCATTGCAGATGACGTAAACCCGCTCGTTTGCGGACCTTCCAACACCCCGGGTCCGTGCACCTGACCTGGTCGTCGTAGATTGTAGTCCGATCCCCTGTGTCAAAACATTCCCTAGAGGGTGCGCATGCGCTTTCTTGGAGAGTCTTCCGGAAGCCTATAGATCTTCCCCCATCTTCCGGCGCGCATTACGACGCCTTTCCATTTGCACCCCGCGAAATTCTTTTTCTCTTGAACACAACGAAATCGATACATCATCTGCGACGACAACTTTCCGAAAGACCGATACAAGTTTGGAAACGCAGCGCCTCATGGACGCTGTCCCGACAACGACACAATGTTCCACGTCGTGAGCGCCTCGTCGCCGGTGCCATCGGAAATCTTTGCGCTCCTTGCGCTCCTCGTCATTTCCGTCATCGTCCTCCTGATTCTGCGCCATTTCTTACCGCTACGAACGACTCCCGCCTTCTACCTGGTTCCGATCTTCTTTGCATTATGGCTGCCTGCGTGCATGGTACTGCTCGTCCCGATCGATTTGGCTTCGAGCGCTAGGACCGACGATGAGGCCACGCGCGGAATCTGGCTCCCTCAGCGATTGCTGCTGGTCTCGTGGAGGATAACGTACTGGCTTACTTTTGCCTTGACATGGTGCGTGGCTCGTCGGAGTTGTGTTCCCCTTGGTCATTCTGCTAAACGTTCGTTATAGGTTCATTCTTCCGATCCTTGGCGAATACTCCGACTCTGGCTACCGCGAACCGCAAGATAGTCTCAAGTACTCGCTCCGTCAAAATGCTCAATACCATGCGATGGTATTCGGAAGTGCTGCTATCGGCCTCACGTACCTTTTCGCTAGATACGGTGTTGGCGCCTTCGAATTCAAAGCCTCCTTCATGGCACTCGCATATTTCTACGGCTTGGTGTTTGCGATATACCTCATGGGACACGGTTTGGTCTCTGTGCCCCGGCGACTGCTTCGGTACGCATCTATTAGCGGGAGACTGCGCAGACAGCAGATCCGTGCACCGAAATTATACGAGAAGATGGAGGATTCGCTGCTGAACCTGGAGGATGTCGAATTGCAAGTATCCGAGCTCGGCCGTCGGAAGACTGGCAGCGCAGTCAAATTCAGCGAGTGGATCGATGAGCTTGTCGAAAGTGCCAATATGCCCGAATCCCAGCCGCGGACCGTAGTTGGCGACACCCGCGCCCTTCCGACTGTTATTACGGAAAAATTCATGGCGGACTTGTCTAGGAAACTGATGCGAGCCCGGCACACGCGGTCCCGTTATGTGAACGAGTGGAACGACCTGTTGAAGGATGCCTCTGACACACAGGCAATTCTCGATTCCGCCGCCTCCAAGAAGCTAACATTCGCCGCCCCTTCGCCCCACGCCGGATTCTGGGACCGATTCACCGTCCACACGCCGTACACCAGATACGTTTACTACTATCACTTTGAGCCCTACGCCTGCATCGCCCTGGGTGTGTTCCTGGCCGCTGCTTCAGTTTTGATCATCTGGTCTGAACTGGTCAAGGCCGCGTTCCCTCAGCTGTCAGTCATCCGTCTGACCGTTGTCCATCACTGGGTTGGAGAGAAGGGCCAAGTCGGTTTTGCTGGTCAACTCATCTCGGTTCTCTGGCTACTCTACATGTGTGCAGCCACCTTTATCACCATGACGGAGGTGAAGACTTGGCGCGGGCGTGCGCTAGTGAAGCGCAATACAGCATACGAATCGGCATTCTGGTACTCTGGACAAGTTGCGAAGCTCAGTGTTCCTCTGTCATACAACTTTATGACCTTCCTGTCTGGCGAAATCTACAAGAAGACGCGATTCTATGGCTTCCTCGGAACGCTGGTCAACTTCACACCCCTGGGCCGCTGGTTTGACTACCTTTTCCCTGTTTTTGTCCTGCTCCCAGTGGCGGCCACTCTATTTGGCTTGTATGGGAAGGTCAAGCGCATGTTTGGATTCGGCGGCGAGTTCATCGACGACGACGACGAGAATGGCAATGGACGGGTCTTTGGCACAGGATCATGGAGGGAGGGTCGCGATCTCATTGAGCGCGAACTGGGCGGCAACTCTGCCTTGCGTCGTCGTGAAGAGGCTTTCGCAAGGCTGGAGTCGGGCGGGAGGTCCGCTCCTGTTTTGACGATTCCTGGCGCACGCAACGGCCTCGCATCCTCTCCAGCAAGGTCACCTGTGCGGGCCACCACCAACCGCCAACCGGGTCAGCCATCCCGAGCCAGGCCGTATCGTGATGAGCCAGAAGAGGACCAGAACTTTTTCGAGTCCCTGGGTCATCGGATGAAGAACACAATGGACACCTTTGAGCCTCCGCAGTGGTTCCAAGACATCAAGAAACCCAAGTGGATGGGTGGCGATGACGACGAGCCAGGGAACGATAGCGGCAGTGGTGATGGTGGTGGTGTCGATTCTGACATTCGACGCTGGTTTGGTGGTGGTGGCAGCAGCGAAGGACGAGTCCGGCTGTGATTTCTACTACGGACGACAGATGGATGACCTTTTTTTTTTTTTTTCCCTTTGTTGCTTTTGAGTATAACCACTTTGCACGAAATTTGGAGTCTCTACCAAGAGCTGGGGAGAACGCATCGTTAGGAGTTTTGGCTTGATGTTCTGCGATCGGGGCTTTGGAACGCAGTTGTCACCAAAAGCACCCAATTGGCAGGGGTAAATAGAATGGTTTAATAGCGGTGCGAGACCCAGCACCTGTCCATGAGATAGAATTACGTTCTATAGATTCCCCATACGAATTCATTATAATAGTCAAGTCATGCCATGTGGCCTGACAGAATCAATCTAGACACAGTGACAAGATTTTCAATCAGGAGGATATGACGACGCCCAAGTTGACTTTCACCGTGTTGTCGACTGATATCTGAGCTAGGCAATCGGCCCCACTGCGGCTTCGGATGGAGGCCGGGGTGCAGCTACCGATTGCATTAGTGGAGGTGCCGATGGACCGTGCACGTTCTGGCATGAACTGCACGACGCATCTTTCGCCTCGGCTTCAATCTTTCAACCTCACATCACCACACTACATAATGAGCAAACCAGGCTTGTCATTCGGCCTCAACCTAGGCAAGAAGCCCGGCGCATCGAAGCCGGCCCCTGGAAAACGGAAGCCATTCGGCGCCAAAGCGTTTGGCGGCGACGATGACTCCGACAACGATGCGCCCAACTCGGGAACCAAGATCGAGTCGCTGGACGAGCTAGGCGGTTTCGAAGTCGACTCCTCGTCCAGCAGACAACAAGACAGCGGAGGGAGGGCGAGCAAGAGCAAGAGCAAGAATGCGCTGCCGACACAACCGCCCACGAGCAGGGCCAAAAAGCAGGAGAGCGCCATGTTTGGCGACCTCTCTGGCTCGCTCACGTCCAAGAAGCACGCCGAGGCGGCGGAGGAGCTCGATCCGAGCGTGTACGACTACGACGGCGTGTACGAATCGTTCAAGCCGCAGAAGAAGACGACCAAGGAGGACGTGGAGAGGAAGCCCAAGTACATGAAGAGCCTGCTCGCTGCGGCCGACGTACGGAAGCGGGATGCGCTGATTGCGGAGGAGAAGAAGATTGCGAGGGAGCGGGAGGCCGAGGGGGAAGAGTATGCGGATAAGGAAAAGTTCGTCACGGAGGCGTATAAGAAGCAGCAGGAGGAGAACCGACGGATCGAGGAAGAG